TTGGTACTAAGATAAATTATATTGATTAGTTTTTGAATATTGTATTCCTGGGATGAATCTTCTATTCCCTCACTTAGACATGAGATATTATATTTTACAGTATTGAATTCAGATTGCCAATTTTTTTTTCACATTTAAAAAAATTTTTAAATGTTTTCCAGATTTTTTTTATTGTAGTAAAGTATAATCTAAAACTTAGCAATTTAACCATTTCTTATTTAATTGTTCGAAAAATCACCAACTGTTTGTTGTAGTGGTTGCACCATTTTACATTCTCCCCAACAATACCAATTTTCCCACATTCTCACTAACACTTGTCAGTTTGGGGGGATTTTTGTTGTTGTTTTGCTTAGTAATAGCCATTGTAGTGGATGTGATGTGGTGTTTATGGAGTTTTGAATCTATGTATATATAAGAGATATTGACCTATAGTTAACATTTAAAAAAATGTATTTATACATTCTGAACAATAAGAAAAACGATGCAAAATCATACAGTGCTGGGAGTTCATGGCTATGGTACTGGGTATGGTGTGTACCAGCGAATCCTGAAGCAAGAGCACATTTTGAGTGGCAAAGGATTTGGTTCAAAATACTGATTTAGTAGTGGAAATTTTAAGCTCAAAAGGCCTGTGGGCCATCCTGGTAGAGATATATAGTTAACATTTGCAAAAACATGACTAAAACTAAAAGTAGAATAAGGACCAAAAAGACATAATGGTAAATTTACCATTTATTGCAATGCTAACTATGTATTTGGGAATTTCTAGCCTAAATGCATGAGTTGGTTTCACAAAAATAGTGGCCCTTCGTAGAGAGAGAATGAAAATGGATATAATGGCTAAGCATAGAAACTTGAGGAACAAAAACTTAAGGAGCGAACAGCAATTAAACATCCTTAGAACACAACTATGTTAACAGGAAACACATATATTGTTGTGTGTTGAAATGTAAATAGTTGAAATGTGACATCCTAAATTAAGCCCAAGTTTTCTATTTCAATTGAGGAAGCAAAAATTAAGATCTGAGAATTAGCTCTGAAATGTTTATTATCATTTTAACTGAAAAAATGCACCATACCAGGACAAAGCAAAGCACTTAACAACCAATTGAGAATTTTAAAACATTTATTTTAAAAATCAGAATAATACACTATATTTACTCACAAGTATTCCTGTTTGTTACCAGATATTTTCAGCAAACAGACATCTTTAAGCATCTTCATCTGCTTTTATCAAACCTTCAAAGTGGCTCCTGCTGCTGTTGACAATCACAGCAGCCTGTTGGGGGTAAAGTATGGGGAGAGAAAAATAATCACGTATTCCTCAAAGTTCAGAAATAATAAAACACTTGGGTGGGTAAAAATGTGCACTTGTATTGTACCATTGAAGCCAAATTTATGATGCAGTTTTTATATATAGAATAATAATATAAACCCAGCAATAGGTGTTAACCAACCAGCCAACCAGTTTGTGTTAAATTCTTGATCTTTGTGAATAGCTATGAAACTGATGAATTCTTAAAATTCTAATGATAACATACATTTAAATACACATATATTTGTTGAAAATGCAGTTGAACACTGAATATGGTAAAGAATTTCATGAAATCACTGTACTTATTGTGACCCAATGTATTTATTCTGAAGATAAAGGGAAACTATTTTATGACATAATGATATGGTCTACTCTCTCCACAACAAAAAATTGTTTTAATTCACAAGTACCTTTTAAGTGGCTGCTATTTGAAGTATATAAAGGATACAGAGATGTAGTACATAGGTCCTAGATTTCAAGCAGTTCATTCTGATTAGGGGAAGCAGACATACATCCATCCAGACAGAAATCCCTAGTAAGGGAAGCAATGGGAGCACAGAGATGTTAAGAGGTTGAAGACTTCAGAGATCAGGCCGTATGTGATCATTCTAGCTATTAAAGCAGTGATTTAACTAATGACAATGAAGATGACTGTGTTATGGTAGTGGAAGTTTAAAAACGTGGAGAACACAGCATGAACACTCTATGAGAAACAGATAAGTAGAGCAATGCATTTACAAAAAGGTAAAATGCAGACATGCTGTGAAATGCAAAGTTTGCAAAATGGGATTGGAATCAACCCCATTGGTCTTGGAGATAATTAATGATTTTTATTTTTATTGTGTGGATATGAGAGTAATATTATGAGGTGACATGCCTGGAGTTACCTGAAGGAAGATGACTCTGATAATCTGTGAAGGATGGATTTTCAGGTGAGATAAGCCAGCCATATAAGATTATATTATACTTTGAGGTCTTAGTGGATCTTTTCCAATCTTGAAATATGAGAAAAAATTTCAATCCAGAAAAGATGAATCCCAGTACTTTTTAAAATCCTATTTTTTATATGTTCATATAATGCCCCATTCAAATATATGCAGTTAAAGTTCTAGAGTTCAACTACTTTATCCTAAATGTAACTGAAAATCAAGAGTTGTGAAATGACTTCTTGATCATAATTGTATTACTCTGTTAGAAAAAGACCCGAAATAGGATAAATGTCATTAAGATTCATATTCAGTTTGCCTTTTTCATTATCTGACACTTAAATAATATATATAGACACATTTGGTATTCATCTTTAAAGACTCCTGATACAATTGAGGGGAAGAGAATTTAATGGCCCTTGCCAATTTTTTCAACTACAAAATATTAAAAGTTTAAAAATGGAAGTCCTATGTAATTTGTTTTCATGAACAAAGAACATGTACAACTTTCAATTGTAAATAAATAGTTGTATCTAAAAATTTGCAGATGATGGAATCTCACTTTGTTCACATTGAAGATGTTGTGAAAGTTCCTTTTCTAGCAAAGCAAAAGAAATTTAAGATTAGTCTTATAGTCACAGATGCTTAAACTAGTGAGACAAACTATCCATGTTAAGTGTAACTATGATCAATTTTTATTGAGTACCAAATTAGTACTACTACTGAGAATGAGATTTATATAAAAATAAGGTTCTACCACCAAGTGGCCCTACCACTTGGCTTCTAATTGAGTAGGATTTCGAATACTCGATAAAGACACATTAATCCTCACTAAAGACAAATTTAGAAATGTTTTTCTTTTAGTTTTTTCACAGCAAAACATTAAAACAAAAAGATACCCTACTGAATGGGAGAAAATATTTGTACATTATAGACTTAACACGGGGCTAATTATCTGAAATCTATAAAGATTCATATGATTCAAAATTAACAACTCAATCAAAAATAGGCAGAAACCGCTAACTAGACACTTCTCCAAAGAAGACACACAATGGCCAATAGGCGTATGAAAAAAATTCTCATCATCAGCTTATCTAGGCAAATGCAAAGCAAAACCATAATAACATATCACCTCACACCTGTGAGTGTGGTCCATTTCAAAAAGACCAGCAACAAAAAGTGTTAGCAAGAACACAGGCAAAATAGAAACCATCTTATACTGTTACTAGGAATATACACTAGTTCAGTCTCTAAGGAAAATAATATGAAGTTTCCTCAAAACATTAAAAATAGATCTAACATATGATGCAGTATTCCCTTTCCTGGGTATTCCCTTCCTGAAGAATAACAATTAAAAAAATTCAAAGTGACATAGGCACAGCTATGTTCATTGTAATACTATTTACAAGTCAAATTATAGACACAACCCAAGTATCCAATGACAGATGAGAGGATAAAGAACATGTAGTATATAAACAGTGGAATACTAGCCAACTATAAAACATATAAAATCTTGCCATTTGTGGCCAGATGGATAGGACAGAGGGGTGAAATAAGTCAGAAGTAGAAAAACAAATACCAGGTGATTTCATTCATATGTGCAATGCAAAGAAACACAGTAAGGAACAAATGCAAGCACACCAAAGGAAACTGAAATTTGTCTGACGGCAAGATGGGAGCAAAAAGGGGAGGGAGCCCAATGCATTATGGGGGAAGGAGGTTAGGGTTTTGGTGATAGATGTGAGATACATACTTTTTTAAAGGTGTGAACCTACCTGCCTAAAACATCTATAGTGTTGTAAGTCAACAGCTCAATAAACAATCTTTAAAAATAATGATCTTTCTGTGGTATTGCCTTTGAAAGTTAAAAAATGGGGAAAAATTAAAAGATTATATAGAGATGTGTTAATTCACTTATACATACAAAGAACTATATAGTTAAAATAATATATTTTTCACTGAGAAAAATAATTTGGAAAGGGACAAATGTAGAAGCTAAGGAAAAGAAACTTAGGCATTAACTATTGTTAATAATGAACTGAAGAGAATTATCCTACATTGTAGTATTATAGTAAAGTTAGAATAAAACGGTTAAGTCTTTCAGTTTGGACACAAAATTACTGAAAATTGTATTCCTTTTTATTTATTGTTAATTACTCTGGAGAACAAGAGTATTTCAAATTGTTAAAAATAAAACAGAGTTCCAACATACAATACTGAACATTATTTTACTGGAAAAGTATCAATGTGATTGGGTATATATTAGTTATACAGGATTTTGGTCAGCCTATGGATTTGGTCAGATTATGGAGGGTCTTAGTGCTCAAACTAGATCATGGTGACATCACTCTAAAATTTATGCTTATGGCAATTCAAATTTATTTAAGAAATACAAGACAAAACATGCCAAATGAAAAAATCTGGTTTTGGTGGATTCAAGAGCTATGGCCAGTGTTATTGTAAAGATGGTATAAAGTTATTTACTCAGCACTTAATTAGTAAGTGCTGTCATTATAAAAGTTATAAAGTCTTGTTAGCACAGCAGGTTAAAGCACAGCGGACTAAAAGCACAGTACCAAGAAGCTAAAGCCACTTCAGCATGAGTTCTATCCCCATCCCAGAGGTGACCCATATGGCACTGCAGACCTCTCCTGACCCACCCGCTGCTCCCCTCAGCAGTGTACTTGGTCAATCTGCCTGTTCTGCTCCCCACTCTGTCTCTGGTGAATCTTCTCACCACCCCTGCACCTCTGGCCTGTACTGCAGTTCTGTATGCATAAATAAGTAAATGTTTCCAAAAAAAGTTAGAAAGTCTTTTTTTTTTTGTTACTAACCTATGAGCATGAACAGTATGAGCATGAACAACTTTACTTCTTTGGGCTTCAATTTCCTAACATATAAAGTGAACAGATTAAACCAGATGATCTTGAGTCATTTCATATTAAAAAATTTCAGTTATTGATATTGAACCCAGATTAGTTTACAACTCAAGCCTCTCAAATAATAAAGCTAAATAACATTTTTTTTTCATGGTCCAGTATCTGTGATTATTTTGATCTACTCTTAAATGAAAAAAAATATAGAACATAAAACAAAGTTCCCCAATGTGATTCCAATACAGAATACTTGGGAATTGAAATGCATAATACATAATATTTTAAATATATTTAACAACTACATTTAGACAGATTGACCAGTACAGTTGAAAACTAGACCACTAATAATTTTAAGAGATTAAACTCCACATATTACAAATTCTACAGAAAAACAAATCACTGCATAGTAATACATCACATTAAAATATGTTTTAAGGTATATGTCCCTTCTTGAAATGGCAGTGAATGGCACTATACATTAGTGCAACCACAAAGCACTTGTAAAATTTTTCTACTTAACATTTTCCATGTTCATTATAACAAATTGCTTGGCTATTTTCAGGTCTTTCTTGGGCCTGAGTTTTTTGAGTTTTCCTATTTGATCATTATATCCTCAACCAATAACTAGCCATCTGACCAGAAATTTCCACAGTCTGAGGTTGGGGGGGCAGGTAAAACATATGAGAAAATGAAGAAAATTCTTACTTTTCTAAAATAATAATAATAAAAAGGATTTGGTTCTATGACTAGACACATAACTGTATGCCAGACAATTTAGACTCTCTTGGGGGTGGATGGGGGAGAAGGGCAATAAGCTTTGTCAAACTGAGTAAGATTCAGGCTAGAAATGCTTCAGTGTATTTTCTAAGTTCTCTCTTTCTAGGGCCCTTAGTGTTAGGCGGGGGAAGGTAAGAAAGGATACATTTGAGAAACGGTTGGCTCCATCTCAGCCATACTTTTTAAATACCACCAAAAGGTTGATAATTTCAGGAGATACCTTATAAAGAGGACCTATCTACCTGAGCTTTAAGAAAATAAGTTGCATTTTTTTATATGCTGAGATTCTTGAAAACTATAGAGACAAATTCAAATTGTAACAGGGTATATATATCAAAGTAAATATATTTGTTTTCATGAAAATTCAGAGTCTGTGGCTGTCGGGAAGTCCTTTGCATTTGAAGCGAAGCACTAACCAATGAACGTAGATCCAACGATGGAACACTGACAGAAGGTGGCTTCCTTCCTTGAAATCCAAATATATCAACTTGAATTTTTTCATCCTCCCGGCAAGAAAAGGTACATAACTTCCTTAAATACTAGGGAAACTCAAAATGTTTATTCATAGATCTTCATTCACCTCATCCCATTAATTTACATTATGTGCACTTTAACAACAGACAGTGAATTATCACATCTTAATTGTAAATACTGACATAACAGGTTAAATATATTTCTTAATCACTAGATATGTATGTATTCTTCCATACTCCTTATTGTCTACTTTGTGTCTGAGATGTTGTCTCCCTCTGGTACTTCTCTTAGTAGACTCTTCAGCAAAGAATAGCATGTCAAAGGTCAAATCTTCTTGCCCAGGGTAAATACTTGTTCAGGATTTGATTCTTCTTTAGGAAATTCTGTGCTGGGTGTCTCATGGGGTGGCACTGTATGATCCAACCAAATTGCTTTTGAAACAAAATAGGAGTCAAGAAGAACTCAGGCTTCCAAGGAAAAATAAAGTGCTCCCCTATGAATCACAGTCTCTGTGGAGTAAGCTGTCTTCCTAAAGAGGTAGAAATAATAGGGGTGGGGGGGTCTGTTGCAGATGCCCATATTTCAGTATTGACCACTGTATCTTTAAGGGCTTCATCTTTAAGGGCTTAAAATGGATTGACTCCACTCATCTCTCTGATTTTTTCATAAGTAAGCCAGAACACCAGTGACCATGGGGTCTGAAAGATTAACCAAAGAAGTTAGTGCATATTTCAAAGTAATTGTTTAAGTATTCTACATATTTACATATACATCCTTGAATGACGAAATCATTTTGAGTTCACTTAAGTTGAAAACAAGTATTATTTCATCAGATTTCCCTGAACAATATATAATAGGAAGACAAGGTACTTATCCATATTTTACAGATGAAGACACTAAGGCTTAGCATTCAATTGCCTATTTGTATATTTTGGAGCTAGATCCTAGACTTCTAGCTTCCATTCCAGGATTCCTTTTGCCAAACCATTATTAGTTAAGAAATTAAACTCAGTAAGGCTGAATTCTAGATTAGGATTGTCTATATATAGTTTGCATATGGAACACTTGACAAAGAGCATTTAAGAATATGAAAGTGAATGTGATTATTGAGAGCTTGGTAGTGAAACCAACACTTGATACATCTCTATCTATCTCTATCTATCTATCTATCTATCTACCTATCTATCTATCTATCTGTCTACCTATATTCATATTAAAAGAGATGAGATGGAAAAGAACTTCCATCTCAAAAAGACTTGACTAACTTAAATGAAGGTAAACTGTACTGCAAGGACTTATAAGGGGGAAAATGTTATGCAGCAATAGTAGATAAACATGCTAGAGACGCAAAGGGAAATCACAGTGTAAATACAGTGTAATCATCAGAGAAAGGGTGTCTTGGATCCATTTCCTATATGTTTTAGTTTATAGGTGATATATAATAATAATCATGAAACTCTATCATACTTGAGACATAAGCTTAAGAATTAATTGGCTAGATGTTTTGGTTAGAGCTTGTAATGCAATATTTATGTTATGTGGTTTGGAAATAGACTGAATGTGTTATTTCAGTAGACTGAGAATTTACTAACTAATGGATATAGGAAAAATACATCTTGGTCAGGTAAATGCATAAAGGCATAGACATAATAAAGAATATGAAGCTGTAATGATATCATGTTCTTGTGACAAACAAAAGGAAGTGAACCAAGGCTAAACCAGCAATCAGATTAAGGAACAAAGGTCTTAGTTAAGAGTATACTACACAATCATTTCTAAGGCACTGATAACTAGACTTCTCCCTCCAGTTAATGACCAAGCAACCAAAATACATGTAAATGAAATAATATTAATCAGGGACTGAATGAACCAAGGTTCTACTACCTCTACTTGGTGGAAAGGATTGCTATTGAGTTAGTTTGGTTTAGAGCTTGAACAGGGAGATAGTATAGCCACGCAACATGGATGATATATAAATGGGGTACACTGATTCTCTGCAAAGGCACTTAGAAATAGTGCTTGTTTTTTCCTCTCTGGCACAGTGGTACCTCTAGAAATAATCCAAGTGTATGTGAACCCATGTTGTCCTCTGTAGTGTGTCTATTACCATAACTGCTGGAGAAAACACAGAATCTTGCTCTTATTACTGTGGAACAAAACACCTAAGGGTTCTTACGTGGATATTTTTAATTACTAAATTTACAAATAATCTCTTCCTGTTATTCAGTTGTCATCAAGCAGCTTTCTGACTATTAACTTGGCTTCCTATATAGTTTGAATTCAGGAGCAAGCAGGCTGCTTACAGGACTTCAACCTTTCACTTCCCAAGAGTGTTTTTCAGTGTGAACAAGCTGATAATGTGGTCCACTCGTCAGTTTCATTTTCAGCTGAAGTGAACTGTATTTACAAGGCCAATTTTCTTGGAAGCACTCATGGGTCAGATTTCTAAACTCAGGATCATGCACTATGGCAGATCAACGGGGCAATACACCCTGGTAATCTTTGTTTAGATTAGCCAGCCTTTTATATTAAAAGTCATGCTCTTTTATTTCAAAACTTCTATAACTAGCTGCAGAAGCTTGAGAAACTGTGTACTGTGTTAGGAGTATGGGTTTAGAATTGAACCCTTGAATACTTCCCAGCTCTGCCACACACTAGCTACAGGAACTTGAGCAACTTTGATTTTTCTCATCTGAAAAAATGAAGTTAATACCACCTATTTTACTAGATTCTTGTGAGACTTAAAAAAATAATTAATGTGAGGGCCCTCCCTAGTGGCGCAGCGGGTTAAAGCACAGTGCTAAGAGGCTGAAGCCACTTCAGCATGAGTTCGATTCCCGCCTGCCCCAGAGGTGACCACATGGCGTGGCAGACCTCTCCTGACCTGCCTGCTGCTCCCCTCAGCAATGTACTTCATCAGTCGGCCTGTTCTGCTCCCCACTCTGTCTCTGGTGCATCATCTCACCACCCCTGTACCTCTGGTCTGTACCCCAACTCTGTATGTATAAATAAATAAATCTTAAAAAATAATAATGTGTAAAAAGATGACACAGAGCTTATAACATATTAAGTACTTTTTTTTTTTGGTCATATATACTTCCTGAGTCTCATATATAAATAAAATGAGCCAGATTAAGTGGTTTCAATATTCCTTTGTACTTGGATAATATTCCTTCCCCACCTGACTTTATTTTTCATCGGTGATCTTACATAATATCATAGTCTCCTGGACTAGAAACATATGAGTTCTAATTCCTTCTGTCTTTCTCTTCCCTTTTACATACAGTCAATCACTAAATACTGTGGAGTTAACCATGTGGTCCCTAGCATCTATCACCTTTCCATTTCTACAATTATCTCCTAGTTGGAACAGTGCCAAACTTGTTATTTTCACTGTATCTTCTATACTGTTAGCAAAGTAATCATATCCCCAAACAAATCTTAGCATGTTACTTCCATGTTTACACTGAACCACTACATATGGCCCATAAAAGTCTGTCTCAACCTGGCTCTTCTAGAATCTTCCCACCATCTTCCCTCTGAGGACCGATTCTCCAGTCACACTAAATTTTCTGTAGTTCTTCAAACATATGACTTGATGTCCATATTGCTCCCTCGTGCTCCTGTTGGCAAATGCCCACTGATTCTTCAAAACTGAGATCACCTCTCTGCGACCTCCTCACAGTGCTCTTTATAAAGTCTTTTTAACTCCACTATTTTGTTTAAACCACTGGAACAACATTTAGGCAGACTTCTTAGTGAAGATTTATCCTTTGGAGTCAGACTACCTGGATCTGGTATCCTGACTCCACTAGTAAACAATCACTTAACCTGGTCAGATTATTTTGACTCTTTAAACTTTTGTTTCTTCCTCTATAAAAAAAGGGATATAATAGTAATCTACTAAACAGATTATTGAGAGAGTTCATCAGTTAAACCATAAAAAACAACTAGCACAGAATTGACAATATACCAAGTGATTTTAGTAACATTATTCCTCTAATTTTAATTATTCATTTGTCTATCTTTTCTATCACATTCTAAGCTGAAAAACAGCTTAGTGTTTATAGCTCTTACAAATGAGCGCCTTTCCAGTAAGAAACATTTATAGATTTGAGATAATTCAAGGTCTAATGGAGACAATCAGAATAGTGTTATATACTTTTGTATTCATTATTGTCAATGGCTTTTGATTGGCATTCTATATTAATGGACAGACACTTACTATCATTTGGTGATGGCATTTATTCCCAAAACTTCAGTTACCTATATGTATTTAACGGCTTATATCTTAACAGTGCTCGAATAAAATGTCTAAAACTAAACTTTTTTTTAATCCTTCCACAAGATCTTCTTCCCTGAAAATTATCTCTACTTTAGGAAATATATCATCTGTTCTTAGACCTGGAACCTTGGAATAAAGGTCCATTTTCCTGTTGTTTCCATCCATTTTCCCATCCGGTCATATTTTTGTCTCCTTTCCCTCCACTAATTATTTTTTGAATCTCCTTCTGTCTATACCCCTATAGTCTAGTCTAAGCTGCTATTATCTCTTAACTATTACTACTCCCAACCCCTATGGTGGCCAGAAAAATCTCTCTATAAATGCTTATCATCAGGCCATGTCCATGTCCCTAACTCTTATGGGTCATAAGGTCTTTCTAGAACTGGACTCAGCTTCTTCTGTTCTTTTTATGCTTCATCCCACTCCTCCATATCTCAGTCCTTGGCTTCCCAGATTTCTTTCAATTCTTTGAACTCATAATGTTCTATGCCTACTGCATTTATTCTCTCTACCTAAAAGGTTCTTACCTGCCCTTTTTACCCAAATCCTACTAATATTTAAGTTTAAATTCAAAAGTTCTTTCTCCCAAGATGTCTTCTTATTCCCATACTAGCTTATACTTACTTGCTATATTTTTTTATAACACTGTGTACTTTTTTCCTACTTCTCATCACTTATAGCTACTTATTCAATATTTGTCCTCACAGAAAGAGAATTTGAGGCTTTTCTGAGTACAGAACTTTGCATGAAGTAGATGCTCAATTCTATTATGATGATGTGTAAGGTGTTGATTACTTAGCTAAACCCACAACTCATTTATGCTTTCAAATATTTTCTAACTTACAAAATACTTGAGTGCTTTGTTTTCATATTTGTTATCTTATTTAAATAGGTCTAACTAGTTCTACATCTTAGTTTACTTCAATAAAAAATAACATTAAAACCAAACAAAATGACATAGTACTTCAAAATTCTGCTTAGTAAGAAAGCATTAAGTATTACTGAGTAATGCAACATTTGTTATCAGAATAAATACTGTGTATGAAACAATAATATTTTAATATGATTGATCTCTAGTACAAAATCTGTATGCCTATTCTAACCTAAAATATTTTGCCTAAACAAATGACTAAAGACTTTACAGTGCAGAAAATGTACCTATACCCACTGATTTTATAACAACAGAATATAAACCTATTCATTTCTAGATATAAGTAAATTATTGACCTTCAGTCTGCCAAAAAAAGTTAAAAGAGATATAAAAAAAGAAACCTAATCTGAGGGCAGGTCTATGCCAAAACCAGCAATGATAAGTGAAAATATTTACATTTTAAAATGAATTCAGAACAGAGAAAATAAAACAAAACAAAAAAGCCTAACTTTACCATTCGTAGCCAAGATGGTAAAAAGCCTTTATAGAGACTCATGAATCCTTCCCCTTGAACAGCCTGAATCAAGCAATCTGTTGATGATTTATATAAAAGTCCCCTAAAAAAAACAAACACAGTTTTGTTAAATATTGTATGTAGAAATAGATCTAAAAATAAAATATAAGTAAAACATTAATCTAGAGAAATTACTCTAAGTTAAATATTTTCTGCCCATTTAGAATAGATATTTTTTGGTTCTATATAGAGAGGTAATATATTTTGAGTTTTAAAGATATTTTCAAGGTCAACTTTTCTGACTCATCCCATCCTTACTTAGAATTCACTCCACATGACCCTTCCAGAGAAAACACACTATTTCATTTAATCAGATCCTCCGTGTTACCTGTGTGTCATAAGCCTCTGAAGAAAGTGCTTTGTAAATTCTCAGCAGAGTATGTTTTCAAACACTCTTTGAAAATAATCAAGTCACAATAAATAACCTGTGTCCAAATAATATAATCATAAAATTAGCTTATTTCCCCAAAGGTACAATAATTTTCTATCAGACAAAGAGCGGGTGATTGCATAAAAACATTTCCTATTTGAATGAATACATGAACATACAAATATATTTTACTTCAAGAACAAACACAGGGAATCATCTTCAAAGAACAATATTATTGCAGACATTCAAATATAGAGTACTGAAGTTTTTCTATCTACCTTCCTTGTTTATCTCGTGGTTGATTCATTATTCGGCTTTTGATGACATCAGCTGGTGTTCCCAGAATAGAAGCTACCAGTCCAGAACAAAAACTATCAATACAAATAAATGAAATTGAAAGATCTTATATTACATTTTCTTAATTTTTACAAAAGGGAATTTAATATTTAGAAAGAATGGGGAACTAAATATTCTACTGCAATATTCTTTATAATAATGCGCTTTAAGCTGAAAAATCAGTGCTAAATTAATTGATTAAAGAGGCAGGAATAAAACTGTAAAGAATGTTAATCAACATATATACAACAGATACCTACTGATATCAAGCTCTCTTCTAAGCAATGAACAAAATAGGTAAGGTCCTGCCCGTATGGTATTTATACTCTGTTTAGGGAAAGACAGATGGGAAGTGAATATTTTAGATGCTAATAAGTACTACAAAAAGTAAAATAAAATGAGGTATGATGGTAAGTAACTGGGTGACTGGCAGTCCTGCTCTCAGGTGACAGCAAAACTGACTGGCTAGTAAGAAGGAAACATTTGTATGAAGCCCTGGAGGAAGAGTGTTACAAGGAACAGCACATCAGATGTCCTGAGTCAGGAATATTCTTGGTGAGGTTAAGAGAAAGAAAACAGCTGTAGTATCCTGAAAGGAGTAAAACTCCAACCATCCGGAAGGAGAAAGGACAGATAGAGATCAGCCAATGAAGGCTGTTTAAGGAGTTTGACAGTATCCAAGATGTGAACCATTGAGAGAATTTTGAGCTGGGAGTCATATAATCCAATTAACATTTTAACAAAACAAAAACTTTGGTAGTAGAGCTCAATAATGAACCAAATCATCTTATTTTTTTAAAAGCCTAAATTAGAGAGTAATGAGACAAGGTGATTTCAAATCCAGACTGGATAACAGCAGTGTCTTTTTGAAAAGGGCAGAGATGTTAGATGCAATAGTATATCCTGGGCAGATTTACACCTGCTGGGAAATCTACAAATCTGAGAAATGTGATCTGGTTGAAGGAGGGGACTGAGGGCAAACCTGAATATCCTGCTTCCAGAGTAGATCAAAAGCAGGGCAGGCAAAGCATCTTAAAAGATAAGAATAGCTCACAAGATAACTTGAGTAGAACTACTGGGGAAGAAAGTATCAAGGGCAGAACAAACAACATGAGCAAAGAAAGTGAAGCAAAGGAAGGAAGGACAGGTCCAGAGGTCTATTGGGTTGGGAGCTAAAAGTGGAAGGAGGCCAAAAATCTCATTGTCTTAATGAAAGAGGAGGCTGAAACTATTAACTAGGGAAAGAACACTGTAGCTTGTAAACATACCTGGGTGAGAAATGGGAAAGAATGGTGAGAAAATATCATAAAGAATTTCACGTAACAGAGGTAACACTTATTTTAAAGCGGGTAAGAAGAAAAACTACTCTAGGAATATTGAGATCAACTTAAAATTAGGAATCATTTATATCTAAATACACACACACACATATTTCCAACTATAATTGATTTGATACTATAAATATACTTTTGGAGTTGTCAAACTAGCATGAAGGATTGTTTTGTGCTACTTTTTTCGATTCTGGATATATTTTATACATTTTTTCTATTAAGGTAACATTGGTTTACAATACTATATATGATCAGAAATATAGAATCCCACCTCTTCAGATGTATGTTACCATTCCTCACCCACCACAGGGCATCCACAGTCCTCCACCATAATCCACTGTGACCGACCCTTCCCCACCCCTTTGTTCTCTACTCTATGTTCCCACTGGTAGCCTGTCCCACCAATTTTGTAGGGGCTGCTTTCTTTTCCTTTTGAAAGTAAGATGAAAAGCTAAATAAAATCACAATAATGTTAAGGACACTAGACATCTATAAAGTAATTCACTCTGATGGATAATTTTAAATTGCATTACAAAGAAATTAAACACTATCCCTTCCTGGGATGCTCTTCTTCCTGTCTCTGTCAGGAGCCATAGCCCTTCAAAAATGTATCTAATTTGATTTCCTTTGTAGGCTCTTCTGAGTGCTTTTCCCCCTCCTTCTCTAATCTCTACACTAGCCACTTTCTTTTAACATTTACTATACAGTGCTTTTATATTTGTCTTGTTTTTAGAGACACTGTGGGAAAGAGTTGTAGCCATTGAATGGTCTTGTATGGTACCATTAAGATAAATACGCTTTTTAAACATATCTGTTGAATTGAGTTAGAGAATCAATCATGAGGCGCTAACCCTGGAATAGCACTATTAGGATACAAATATTTGGGGAGGTTATTTCTGAAGAAACAATAAGTTATGACTTATGCTAAATACAGAAGAAAAGGTGCTATAGAAAAAAACAAGTCCAACTAAAACACTCACTTACCTTGATAAGCCATGTGTCATTATATTGTCCTCAAGTGGTGTATTCAAGACCAAGTAGTGTTTCACTGTATCATAAGTGGTTAAATCTAAAACAGAAAGAAAAAGAAAGCTTAAATATTCATTAATTCAACAATGAATATCTCTTGTGTCAAGGATATGCTAGGCTTCAAGTAGGAATGTGTTCAGGGATGAAAGACAGCATTCTTGTTGTCAAGCAGAGAACAGCATAGCTATGATGGAGAAGAAGGAAAAGAGGACAAGAGACATAACAATTATGTCATCTGGACATCTGAATGCAGCTATGCCTAAATCAGCTTAACCCCAGGACCTTTCAGATTTGACTTGATAAATTATTTTTGTTGTTGTTTAAGTTAGGTTGAGCTAGGATTTTGTCATTTATAAATAAAAGACCCTATTACTCTGCATGAAAGTTTTTATATTTTTGCTAATGACATTGAAAAGCTGTTGAAAAGTTTCAAACAGGGTAGTGATCCAGCAATCCTGAGATTTTGTAAAGGTTACCTACAACTGAAGCATGGGGGAATGAATTCTAAAGAGGCAAGAATGGATAGATATATATGATTATTCAAGAAGTATTTGTGTGCCTACCATGTATATGCATTATTCTCTAGATCTGGGGTGCGGGGGAAATCACAGACAAAATGTACAAAATGCCTATTCTTTGTTGAAGGATGTGGCAATAAACAACTAAATAAACCATATGGCATTTCGATGTAACTGTTCCAAAGACAAATAGGGCAGATAAAGAAGACAGAAATATCGGAGTGTGGAAAATAGTGTAATGGATTTTAAAAAGAATGATCAGGGAAGGCCCTTGAGTAACATCTGAACAGAGATATGAAACCAAAGTGAGAAAATAAGCCTTGCAGATAGGTAAGAGAAAGTGTCTCAGGCCCCAAACCAAACCAAACCAAACAAAAACAATGTTATGGGCCTGAAGGCCCATAAGTAACAGTACACTTGGTATGTTAGAGCACAAAAATATTGGTCTAACAAAAACTGAGTAAACAAGGGTCAGAAAAGGGCAGAGTTCAAATGAGGAGAGTCTCAGGAAACAAGCAGAGAATTGGGGAGAGTGACCTGGATTACTGTTTACCATGATCACTTTGGATGTTTTGTCAAGAGTCGACTATGGGGCAATGAGATAGATTAGCTATGAGACTATTGTATTTATTCTGGTGAGAAAGATAATATGGTGGATAGGGGAGTTGTAGCACAATGACCAGAATTTGGATACATTTTGAAGGTATGATCAACAATATTAGCTTGCAGATTGAACATGGAGTGAAAAGGAATCAAAGATGAGTATTGAAGGACAGAGCTGACACTTATGGAGATGCTATGCACTGAAACTTTGATCAGAGTTGTTTCTGAGGCAAATAGCTGCGGGTTAGATATGGGAAAGCAGTCAGGAAGTATTTGTAGTTGTCTAGTAGGAAGAGATAAGTAATATTTGAATAAAGAAATGGTTCTAGGGGTGAGAAGTGAATGAATTTGAGATATAGCTGGGAGACAGAATTGACTAAACATGGTAACTGACTATACATAGGAGTTAAGTGAAAAGAAAGAGACAACTTCTATTGTGCAACTGAAAGGATGGTGACCATAGTTGACTTGGGAGAAAAAGAGAAGGAAATGGTTTGATAAATGATTTTAGTTACACATTCAGACTGATAAAATACTTGAAATAACCAAAAGAAGATGCTGAGTAAATAGCTGGAAGCAAAATCTGAATTTCAATATATTTTGAAGCAATAAATTGAGAAACTACAACCAGAAAGGTTTCCTGACAGCCAAATATCTACCAATGATGCACTGGACATGGATAGATTGAAATAGCAAAACAGATTTACTTCTTTTGTTTGTTTTTGAAAGATTTATTTATTTGTGCATACAGAACTGGGGTACAGGCCAGAGGCTCAGGGGTGGCAAGAAGCTTCACCAGAGACAGAGTGGGGAGCAGAACAGGCAGATCAATGAAGTGCATTGCTGAGGGGAGCAGCGGGTCACCTCTGGGGCAGGCGGGAATCGAACTCATGTGGAAGTGGCTTTAGCTTCTCAGTGCAGTGCTTTAACCCTCTGCGCGACCAGGGAGGGCCAGATTTACTTCTTTTGATGTTTAAATGATATATGACTATAAGCTGCAAAAATGCTGTTTATCAATGTTTTAGAACCATATCATTTTGAATTTAGGATTATTTTATTTATTAATTCATCCATTCAATTTATTGACTACATATGAGGGGCCAGGAAAATAAAGTCCACTGGGACTATAATAACCCTTGCCTTCAGGGAGCTCATGATCTAGGGAAAACAGATCACAGTAGAAGGCAATGGAATGAGGTATAACCAATAACAGAGATAAGCACAGCAAGCTACAGAAACACATAAAAGTGCATCTAATACAACAAGACTAGGCAGGGGTAGTTATGGGAACTACAGGAAAAATAAGGTGGAGAGGAGACCTTAGCTGACTATCAGAAATTTTGCAGAAGAAAAGTAAACAGAAGAAAAAAGGGACTAAAAAAGTACAGAGGTGAAGAACAGTTCAGTCTGTTCAGGCAATGCACATGATTTTCTGCTTCTGTCCAGAATCAATGAATTACTCAATTCCATGAGGTACAGGTTGTTTTATAAAGGCCTTCAGTGTTAGGGAATTTTCACTTTACTTTATGGGTGCTGAGTAGGCACTGAAGGGTTCTAAGGATACCAGTAACACATCAGATATACATTCTAGCTAAATGGACACTGGGTACACATTTGAGGAAGAAGGAGGAGACCAGTTAAACTGCTATAGCAACAGTCTAGTTGAGAGGTTTTTATAGTCAATAATACAAGGCATTTTATGGTCATTATAAGGATACTAAAGTAGCAGATACTGGTGGAGAGGGTAGACATTTTGAAGAAATATTTATAAGATAGAGGTTATTAGTGACTGAATATGGGAAGTGAGAGATAGGGGTGAATCATGGAAACATTCAGGTCCCCAGACTGGGGTGCCAGGCTGTATAGAATGGACTATACAGTAATTGGAGCAGAATTACCACTGGTCAGGGGTTAGGAGGGGTTGGGACAGTCAAGCTATAATGACAATCACATGATACGCATGATACATAGACCAGTTTGAATCTCAGAGGACGGTATAGGCTGGAAAAAAGATCAAACTACAGTTTGAACCTAACTCCTTAGTACCACAATTTGTTGAGGAATTGCTTTTCCCACATCACTACAGAATAAAGGGGAAATATTCTATGGGAAATAGTCAAGAAAGGCTTATGAATGTATTAATAAAATATATATTTTTTCATTTCTCCCACTGCAAGTACTAAGGACTTTTCAGAACTCAATTCTGAGTTTCCATTACCTCCCATATTCACCAGTGCTGCTCGTTGTACATTGGGTACCCAGCCTGCCCAGAGTCCACGTATTCCTCCTTCAGCTAAGATTTTTGCAAATGCGTGATGCACACCACGAAATCTAAAGAAAATAATATGAAATGTCAACATTGTATGTGTTCCTATACATGGAGTACAATTGGATGAGCCGCATCTATGCCTTTAAGATTTGGAATAACATGATGTTTATTCAGAATTATTAGAGATCAAAGTACTCCACATAAACCTAATTTCTAGATAAACTTAAAAATCCTTTAGAAAAAAGCCAACATTTGACTTGAACAATTTTTATGGAAATATTGTGTAATGTTCTTATCTTCTCGGATTATTAAACATTAAAATCCACTTATTGATATTTTATAACATTAGTGCACATATTAATTATAGGAGGAAACAGCATCTACCAGACTTCTAGACTCATCGTACTAATACTGTGGCTGTAGTAGATGTAAATTTTGGAATTTTACCAAATAACAATAAAAAAATTGATCCTCACATAACCTCATAAAAGAAATGATAATTTGAGGCCAAAAATAATAAGGAAAATGTCATAAAAATTATCAAAACAGAAGACTTTCAGCGTTGTAAAAATTTATTCTTATCTTGCTTATCTTCTGTACCCAGATGAAAGATGAACCATTAACCAACCTGGAAACCTCCATATAAAATTAAAGTCTGGATTTTTTATAATCAGAAATACCTGCAGTCAAATGTCACCTTAGACCAATTACCAGACTTGTAGCTATTATACAGGTTTTTCACTCTGAGTCCTGTGTCATATCTACTAGGCATCATGATTGTTACTATCTACAAGAAAATTATGCTCAAGAAAGACAGTCATTGTGACTATAATTTGTCATGCACTTATTACGTGTCAGACTTTTTAATTTACGTAATTATTTTTTATTGAAGTAACACTGATTAACATTGTTGTTTGTATTTTGGAAGGATCCCCCTTCCGGGGATGTTCCTATAGTGCTCCCACCACCAAAGTAACCATAATCCACCACCATAGTCCACTGTGTTCTCTTCCCCACTTGTGTTTCTCATGTCTTCCACCCCACCCTACTCTGAAAGTCTCGGTTCTGTAGTCTGTCTTCAAGGGCTAGTTTTTTAGTTTTGCTTTATCTGACCCTTTGTATGGTGTCTCTATATTCCACATGTAAGTGACACCATCTGATAGTTGTCTTTTTCCTTCTGGGATTAGATGTGTGTGTGTGTATATGAATTTTATATACATATATGTGTAAATACATTTTATTCTCAAAAACACTATGAAGTATGTATTATTCCAATTCACATCTGAGTAAATAGAGATTCAGAGTGGAGAAGTCACTTGGCCATAATTATAGAACTAAAATATAGTAAAGGCTAAATTTGAATCCCAGGTTGTCTGATTTCAGTTTCATGTTCTTTACAATGATATTGAATGTGGGAATTTCATGGGGAAATCATACCTTGTACAAAAATGAAGGATGATGTAATGACTATATTAAAAATAAATGTTTCTCACTATTACATCAAACCAAAATTTTCCAACATCTTTGGAGACAGAGAGTGGAAAATGAGGTTGTTAATTAAAACCTAGATATTTTTGGAACCAGTGGTGGTTCTCTCCATGCATCCAACCAAGGCAATGCCACTTTTCCCTGCTCTTAGTAATTAGAACTTGTTACAAGATGACAAAATGAACACTGGGGTTCTGTAAACTACTAGGTTAGGCATAGTATGCTTTTTCTCTGTGGTACATGTTTTCCCCCTTCTGGAGGACCACAGGGTAGCTTGAACTTCCATGGCCCAACCTCATTTTCCTCTGAGTCAGCTAGAGGAATAGCAGAATAAAGAGTGGTGTTAGTGGTGAACTCTCAAAGGAGGTCCCAGACCCACCCCTTTAAAATATTTGGAGGAGTAGACCCCTTTGTACTCTACTTAACACATCTTGCACAATTCTTTTCAGGGAAAAGTCTGTATGACATTTCCCTTCCCCAAGAGAACCTGGCTAACTTGAACTTGAACCTGTTTGAAGAACAGTAAACTTTGGTAATATAGTGTATTATCAATAGGAGGATTTTATATCAATCCTTTGGGAATTATAATATGACATATACGAAAGGTGAATTATAATGCTGTATATTTGAACCCTATATAAGGTTATAAACAATTATTATCTCAATAAACATTTGACTGAGGCTATCAGAGGGGAAGGGGAAGCAAAGATGAAGGAGACTCAAAGGACTATGGTAGAGGATTACAGGTACCTTGGTAGTGGTGTGGTATAGTAACAAAGTTCCTAAGTATGAAACTATACCTCTTCCTCTAAATCATTAACAGTGTTGCAAACAAACAGAATAGAAATGGTAGGTGTCTTCCACACCAAGTCACAATGACAAAATTGGGATGCACATCTGGGCAAATTGTAATTTCCTGAGACTTTTATGTCACACAAGAATAGGAAGCAAGTCTAGCTACTTGGGGGAAAGGAACAAAGACACATGCACATACAGAGCTTGTTAGAGAACACGTACACCTTATCATACATGGAGAAGTTTCATCTTAGCTCTTCTCTAAATTAATATAACTTCCAAATAAAGAGAGTCAGATTTATTGTCATGACTGAATGGTAGTTTACAGAAATGCATGTTATTGGGTAAATGTTCAAAATAAGAGGATGGCAAAGGGTAGAGTAAATATATTCACTTGACACTTACCGCAAAGGTTTTCCTTCAAGTTTCCTTTTTCCTTCCATTTGCATCTGAACCTTCACTAGGTCAGTTGGGTTGGCTAAAAATTGACCAACAACACCAGCCATCATTCCGCCAATCACTGATTTCCTATTTATAAAAGGAGACACCTTTTTAAATGTTACCATTAATTTCACAAATTCTGTAGTGAACTAATACCAAGTTGGTACCTTCCATAAAATTTAAAACAAGGTGAAGAAAAGGGTTGACCTAGACAAATCCCAGGGCCCACAAGAAATTGAAATTCAAATCTGAAGTTTCAGGGAATTACATGACCTGACATTCAAAGCAAGGACAGTTTCTTGAAAGATATAAATATCTGAACTGATACATTTAATTGAAGTTTAATTCTGACTATATGGGAATAAAAACAGCATAGATATAGTCCATCAACCAGATAAGGGCTGGTAAATGAAATTTTATGAACTATTATTTCAGTACTCTTCTAAAAGTGAAGGGGGTTGAAAACTTTCCTCTCTTCTAAGAAACTGCCTAGATTTTTTTCTTCTTGTCTCCTAGAGCCAATAATGTCTATGACTAGACTATTAAACATGCTTAATTCTTTCTCTATTCCAGCTTCTCTTGTGTAGGTAACCATCTTTTATCTAGATTGCTACAATAGAGTGGGGGGGGGGCATTTTCTTTCCTCTTACTCCTTTTACACTCTTTGAAGAGATACAAATAGGTATTGAGTGAAAAGAGTTCCCTTATCCCCAACTCCCCTCCTCTGAAGCAGTCACAATTACTAGTTTCTTAGCCATTTTTTTAGAAGTAAAAATAACAAATTCACTGCAAATATACCATGTCAGTCACTGTTTTAAGCATTTTTTAAAAGAATCACTTAATTCTCCTAACAATCACTTAATTCTCCTAACAGTAGTACCACTGTTATTTCCTCTCTAAAGATGAGAAATTGAGGCACCAAACAGTCAAGCCATACAACTTTAAGATTTAACTTTCAAGATTTAACTCCAGGCAGTCCCACTGTAGAGTTTATAATCTTATACACTAAATACAACTAGTAGTTTGTACACACTCTAACATACATATATATGTTAAATATAAAATATATATGTGTTAAATATTAAATATATATATATGCAAAATATAGAATGTCAGGTTATGTACTGTTCTGCATTTTGATTTTCTTCCTGATAATTTAGCTTGATGTTTATCCTTGTAAGTTCATATAGAGTACAAAATAATCCATTTTGAAAAAAATCTCAAAGCATTCCATTTTGTGGATATATATAATTTATATAAACAACATAACTTTTCACTGAGAGATATGTGTATGACATTTAATAGATTCTGCCACTGTTTTCCATAGTTTATATTAATTTACAGTCTATTGACAAACTACTGGATACCTGTTTCTCCTCACAATGGTGAGCCTCAGTAATTGTTTCATGGTTTTCCATATTCAGGCAACTGTCTCTATTACTATGAGCTCAATGATGGCAGGGACCATGTCTTTTTCATTATACAGATACCCGCAGCATTAAAAAAGAACTGGCACATTCTAATCGCTCAATATATACCTATTGACCAAATCAGTTGTTCTGAATGGGTCAAAAGACATCAAGCCAACCTTCCCTGAGAATTGACTTGGAAGAAAAATATAAATTTTTGAACCCCCTCACCTATTTATTTATTTATTTTATTTACTTATTGTTATTCCCTTCTGGAGGGAATAACAATCAATTCTATCACTTCCTCTAAAAACCAATTAGTATAGCTTAGCACATTATAACATTTTAAAAAGCAGGACCAAGAAGTTAGGCCTGAAAGATGAAATTCTGCTTATTGTTTTTTCTTAGAGTTGTGACTTGTATTATTTTTTAACCCAGAAAAGATGTTACAGATATATTTATATGTAAGACATATAAAACATTCCTCATTCTTTCAAAGTTATGTTATATATAGGGAAGTGTATATATAACACACACACACACACATACATATACACACACACATATACTTCTCTCTAAATATATGTGTGTATCATACTTTATCTGCTTCCAAGTGATAGTTATTTAATTTTTAAAAACTGCTATTATCAACGCTACTAAAGGAAGTATGTTTGTGTGTATGTGTATGAATCAACATAAGTATTTCTGCATAGTTATAAAGGAGTTTCTAAATGAAAAGATTACACTTTTAACTTTTCACACATACTTTATTCCACAAAAAATGCATTAGTGACATAGTCTCATTAACAGTTTAATGGTTAGAAGATAGTTTTATTTCCTTGATTAATAGGGAGGTTGATGCTTTTATAGGTTTGCAATATATACATTTGTTACATATTCTCATTAACAGTTTAATGGTTAGAGGATCGTTTCATTTCCTTGATTAATAGGGAGGTTGATATTTTTAATGGTTTGCAATATATACATTTGTTATTTTATTAGTTGTCTGTTGGCATCTTTTCCCTATTTCCCTTTGTGTTCTTATTGTTTTATTGATTTATAGGACTTATTTTTCTTTGTATTCTTAGTTTTTATTGATTTATAGGAGTTGTGTACATATTATTTACAATAACCTTTTTTTTTCTGTTCCTGTTATACACCTGCTATATACATTCATCATCTCATTTAACCCTACAAAAAAAAAACCCTGATTTTCCATGTTAATTCTACAACTGATGAAAATGAAGATAAAAAGAGTACAGTAGTTCATGGATTACACAGAATATCAGGAACTTATGTGTATCTTTTACTCTAAATCTTGGAGTTTCTCAGTAGAAAGAGGAATTAAGAAGGTGCTTTGTAAGAATTCCTTTAATGTTAAATTATATATGACCTTTATATGTGCTCATGTGCATATGTGTTTGCATATTAATAATAATTTATTTGGACTTACACTGTAATTATTTGGTCATTTTGGCACACATAACTGTATAAAATGGATAAACATTAAATTCTGAGGACCAATAGTACATTATTTTCACAACAAAACTTACCAAAGTGGATAATGCTTATCTTCACTTTTGCCAAACACAACTTCACGGAGATGTTCATATGTAACCATTCGACCTCCAGAATACACTGTGTAAAAAAAAATTATGAAAATAATGAAATCAGTTGTAGGTTTAATAAAATAACAGGACATTCTGACCTGACCTAGTTGCTTTCTATAGCTGTCTTTCTGTCATGGACTTCTTGATGTCTCTCCAAGTGCAGCAAGCCTTTTTAAGCCTCAGACTTTCCACATGCTATCTGATATTTTTGAAGAGACTCTGCTATCACCACTTTGCTAAATACTCTTAATATTTCAAGAATTGGTGCATAGAGCATGTTTTCTAGAAAGTGTTCTCTGACCTTTCCTCCAGTATCCTAAACAGTTGTCATGCTTCTCCTCTATCCTCAAAACTATCCAGGCATACATCTAATATAGAATTTGTTATATAAATCAGAGGTTAACTTGATTTTCTTGCTCATCTTTCCATTTCAAGGTGGGTTTATCTTTTAATTATGCAATATGTCCTAGGACAAATTCCTAGCAGGAATTTTTGTTCAATAGATATGTACAACTTCACTGGATAATTTTTTTTTATATTAAAGTAACTTAAAACATTGAGGTTATTTTCAGTTCAGTGTCAAACATATATTAATCTTTGCAGTAAAATCCTATATGGTTGCCAATAAAATACAAATGAAAAGTTATAAAACACAAAACAAAAATGGAGGGTAAAGGAGAAAATATTTCAAAATCGAAAATATAAGTCATTAAAATTAGTATAATATCTATATAGAGCTTTTTAAAGTATTTTAGGAAGTCCAGCAGGAGTATTCAATTCCCAATAAAATAACAGTTTCTGTATACGCTCTTAGATAGTTCTTGACTTATTGAAATCTTAACATCAGTAAATATTGGTATCAGCAGTTCTAGGGTCCCTATATACTTGAAGAATTATTTCTAAGAAAATATTTGTGTGCCACACCTGTCCTACTTCTTTTGAAGCCAAGTTTATGTTCTTCTGTCCACAAGCTATAACTAAACTTTACGGTGCCACATTGGAAACAGAGTAGAAAGTACTCACTGGCTATAGTGCAATTAGTTTCTTCCCTTTTAGGGAGACTAATGTCTCACATAACTAGAAAACAGCCTGGAGAACTGAGGCAGAAACCTGCTGTGATGCACTATTCTGTTGTCAGAGTTGAAATAGATCTCTAATGTGTATTACAGAGATAAACTTCAGCATTGGAGTGAAATGTATTTTTATTTTCAAAGAACAGAAAAAAATTAGTGCCTACCATTTCTAAAGTGAAGAAAAATGTTAATTCCCTTTAAAATTTCAAACAGTAATGTCATTCCTTCTATATTTGTTATTGAGGTTTATCAACTGTGAACACATTTACTTGGTTTATTTTGTTTAATTATTTTAAAGTATGTTACGGATATCATGAATAATCATCCTGAAGTACTTTGTATGTTTTTCTAAAATGAAAGCAATAATGCCTTATTAATTATTGGTAGCTAGTTATCTTATTTTTAAGAGACTATATATTTATTTACCATATTAATAAACAGGAAAGTAGAGGAGACAAACACAGAACTCATGACAAACTTACCAGCTAGAATCAAGATAAATACCTACGTGTCTGTAAATGGCAGGTGTCACTCCTTGCCAAAGCTTTAGAAAGCCTTCCTCTTGGACAATCCCTAAGGCTGTGCGCACCATGCCTCTATAGGGAGTCGATCCTCTTGCACTGTTTCCCAACCGAGCAAGGGCAGCTTCTCCTTGCATTTGGAGTCGAGTTTTTGTAAGATCGAGAGGAAAGGTTGCTAACAAAATAAAAACAAAATATATGTGGGGGATACCCACACATTCAGAGAAATTTTTTAAAAAATCCAAAGTCATAGGACTAGTCTTTTCTCCCCCAGATCAGTAGTTCTCAAGTGTTCAAATACTTCACTATCAGCCAGGGAAACCGTTAAAAATTAGATTTCCTAGCCCCATGCCTATGTGTTCACAATAGTTGGCGTGGGTTTTGAAATCACTTGAGACTTATTCACTACCAAATTTAAGTCACGGTACCGGAGCATGTTGGATGCTTTTTATTCAAAAATTTACATCTAAGGTCTATTTTAATTCTTAACTTTTGCTTTCTAATGAGAATCATTTCAAGTATCCATGGTCTGTGACCTCCCCTCAAATGCACCCATGACTGTTTAAGATCCAACATGATTTTTAGAGTACAGTATTATTTATGGCAGGGTTTTAGAGTATGCCAGGTGAAGCTCAACTTTATAATTTTACAGGTGATGTTCATATGTAAAGGAGTCACTGGCCTAATGTTATCAGATACAGAAGATGCAATATGAAGTGTATAATATCATCTTTCATATGTAAGGACAGCATGACCAATATTTTTTGAACTATAAAATTGTTTATGCAGCACTGATGTGTTTAAGTACCAACTATACTGGAAAATGTTTTCTAATGGTTACATTCTTAAATTAGAGATAGCCTGTTTTACTTTACAACAGAGTGTTGCTAACTGGCCCACATAAGGAAGGTAAGCTCATAACTATATACCCAATGTTCTGAGTAACTGAAATAACCAGATTCAGAAAAGTTCATGAGCATCGCTGACATTACATAAGTCTTTTCAATGACCACCATCTGGTACAAAATCAGCATCTTTGTGTTTTCCAAGACAAAACAGGGCCAGGGATTTATATCTTACCACTGGGTCTTTGGAAAGGTTAGTATCTTGCTAATAGCTTCCCTAAAACAGAAATATTTTGTATATAGGCATTTCAAGCAATACTTTATTGACAAATGAAACATGAAAATTCATAAGCTATTGAAGTATGTATCTTATCAGAGATAATGCCTCTCAAAATAATGTTGGATTTCTTGCTGGTTATGTAAATAATGCTTCAGGTTCCCACCCTATCCCCATCCAATTCTCTGTGAAATTTTAATAGAAGGAAAGTTCCTTTACAAAAGGACATTTGTAAAAAGTTCCAATGTCAAAGGGAGAAATAGCAGTGAAAAAAAAAAAACTTCGAAATATATCTAATCAGGATTCTGTCTTAAAAATTTTTAAGTTGATGGACAGTATTTTATTTATTTTTTAAATTTTATAATAGTTTATTTTACATATTTTTGTGCATTTTTGATGGACAGTATTTTAATAGAAACAATAAATAAAAATTCTTCGTTTCTTTTGGAAGAGAAAGAGTCCAAAGAACAAGAACAACTAAGAAGCACAAAGGGCAATATAGCAGATCATGTTCTGACCCCAACGGAAATGCAAAATAAACTCATTTAAGGAGAGGGCAAACTAACATTTACAAATGATTGCACGTTAGAGCTGATTCTGATATGTTTGTTTTTATAATGTCTACATTTTCTGTGACTAGCTTAGTCAGATGTCACTGTCTAGCTTCTGTATTCTTATGAATTATAATAATACCTTCTTATTAATAAGTAGCCTATCTCCCCATCAGCCTGTAAGATCAGGGCTAGGGCTTTTCAATTGTATTTCTACAGACCTAGTATTGTAATAATTATAATCATGTCAAGTTAAGTGGTTCTTGAAGGTTAGCATTTATATAGTACTGACTTTTCAGAATACTGCAAAACAAATACCGTATAGATGAGTTAAACTCAGAGAGGTCAAGTAACTGGCAGATGTTAAATAGGTGCTCTATAAGGGATAAGCTAGTAATTGAAGTCTCACGAGGTAGGTCCACAACTTGGACCCAAAAGACAAAGACACAATGTTGGTATGCATGGATATAAATCACAAAAATAATCCCAGTAAGGATGAAAAGTTGAGTGTGTTTCTAAAAGATCATCCTCACGAAAGGGAAGTGATTTCGTCTAACGACAGCTCACGAAGCCTCTCACAGTATACATCCAAGCAGTCCCACACCTCGGCGGGAGACGATATTGGAAGGAAAAGACCTCAGTGACCTCCATGCCCTCCTCCCCACAAAGCTGGTCTCGCCTCCACTGCCACATCTGCCGGACAGGTGTGGAAGAAACGGGCGCAACCTTTGCGGGCTACACACACCGGGGACGCCAGTCCGCCCGCCCGTCCCCCACCCCTGCGCGGCGCCTCGAAGACTCGCGGGGGAGGCCCAGGCGTGGGCGCTGGGTACCTAGCTCGGCCACGGTGGCCGCGCAGCCCGACAGTAGGAACTTGCTCGCTCCGGGCCATCTCTGGGCGAGCGGCAAAAGCCTCTCCTCATCCTCTGGGACCGACATTCAGCAGCAGGGCAGGACGACAATGCACCCCTTCCGCCCGAGTCCGCGGCTGGCCTGCCACCCTGCTAGGTCGGCCCCTCCTCAACCCACCAGAGGTGGGGCGGAGACCATTGCCCTCCCTCGGCTCCGCCTGGCGTGCCCCGGCAAACCCGCAACCTTCCTAACAGCCCCAGGCTCCAAAGGTCCTGCTGACAGAAAGCAGAAAAACAACGCGGGGGCCCAAGAGGCTTCTGGGAAATGTAGTCCGCTGGGCTACGCGCCTCTCGGGCCGCCTTATCTGATTGGCTACGTGCGACCCCGGGCTCCACGGCAACAGCGCTGGCGCTCCGCGATCAGCCTTCCGCGCCCGCCCCACATGGGGGCTGTTCCTGCCCACCGTCCCGCGTGGCCAGGACTTGAAAGAGAAGTAGAGGTGGGAGGGAGTAATGATGCAAAAGTCACCTAAAGTTTGGGTCGGTCATAGGCGTTTACAGCTAAGGCAAACAAACTGCAAAAGTTGCAACTAAGAGGTCCGGTATTTGCTCCCAATCCCAAGGGAAGAAGTGCCACAGCGACAGAACTTTTCGCTGACTTCGGAAAGAGCTAAAGGAAAACATGGAACTCATTTCTCCAACAGTAATTCTAGCCCTAGGTTGTATTGCTCTTTTGTTATTCCTTCAGTGGAAGAACTTGCGTGGACCCCCGTGCATAGGAGGCTGGATTCCTTGGATTGGAGCTGGATTTGAGTTCGGGAAAGCCCCTCTAGAATTTATAGAGAAAGCAAGAGTAAAGGTATGTGGCCTTGGCAGGTGAGGTTTCAGGAAGAGGTATTGTTTTCTTTTTTATTTCTTTCATTGCATTTTAGGGAACATACTTCCTGTCCTCTCTTCTACGACCTAGCCTCGTTAATTCTTCAACTAACCATCAACAGCTATTTGTTATGCAAGGGATAGATTTTTATCAGTTATGAAATACAACGCTGGAAGCTACCAGAGGGGGAGGGTAAGAATGGAAAGCAAAGGGGGAGGGGCAGGCAGCAGTGGGCTGTGATGGAGGACTATGAGTGCGGTGGTGGTGGGTATGGTATAGGACCATGAAGCGATGTGAACCTATACTCCCAAGTCATATGCAGTGATGTAAACTAACGTTACCGCAATAAAATAATAGTAATAATAAAGTAACAACAACAACAACAACAAAATACAGTGCAGCTTGCAGCTACCTTTTTGGATATAGAAATTAAATTGTAAGTGCTAGTTAATCATAATTTAAGAATCCTAAGTATCTACATACTAACTAAATGCTTGCAGTAATTGCAGCAATTGGAAAATACTAGTGTAATACCATTATTTTCATTTTAGGAAAACGCATAGTAAAGTAGTGTCCAAATTGGAGTTAATGCTGAGCTATTTTAAAAATTGCTTCCAACTTGGTTTATAGAAATTTAGCTGGCTGTTCTTGGAAGCTGAACAGGATCAGGCCTGGTTAGCATTTGGAAGGGTTAGAAAATTAGCTGGTGTTTTTTTTTTTTTTTTTTTAGTTAGTAATATTCAGTGGTGATGAAACCCATTTTCACTGTACGCTAAGATTAGTTATGATAGCTGTAGATGTTTTTGCCCTTGAATATCTTTATCAAATACAGCACATTTTTCAAAGTAATATGTAAGTTACTGCCAACTTTTGGTCTTTTATTTCAATCAGTGTATATGTGTTTGTGTATATGTATTGTGTGACTGTACTTTTTGCACTCACCCAATTCCTCAGAATTAGTTCATAAAAGTGAAGTTAGCTGTGAATATTTAAGGTGTTTATATTATGGTTGCCTTTGCAAAAGGATGAATGCCATCCTTTACCTTTTCCTTTGAGTGGGAGATTACCTTGCTCCTTATATCCAGATACATCCTGGGTAGAAGAATTCTTGCTAGTTTGATAGAAAAAAAAAAAGTAGGTCTTTTACAGAAATACCCCGTTGGCTCCCACAGCCTTATTTAGACATGTAATTTTGATAATTTTTAGGGGATCTTTTTAAAGTCTGTCTCAGAAACTCAAGTATAGTCACAATGATAATTCATTTTTTCTTCTAAAAAATTTATAGTTTCGCATTTTACATTTAAGTATTTGATCCACTCTTGATTAACTTTTGTATAGTGTAAGTAAAGGGTGAGCTTAATTTTTTCCCTCTTTGAATGTCCTGTTATTCCAGTACCATTTCCTAACAGGCTTTCCTTAGGAAATGAATTGCTTCAGTTATTTTTAAAAATTATTTGAACATATATGTATATATCAATATCTAGTCTTTCTATTTTATTCCATTGATTTATATATCCATTCCGTTGTTAAGATATTCTGTACTAAATACAGCAGTTTTACACTATTGTGAATCAGGTAGTGGAAATTCTCCACTTTTTTTTTCCTCTTTGTAATTCCTTTGGCATTCAAGGTTATTTTCATATAATTTTGAAATTCTCCTGACAATTTATATAATAAAGGCTGATGGAATTATGATTGGAAATTTGTGATAACTATAGGAAAATTGACTTTTTAACAGTATTAAGTCTTCTCATTCTCGAATGCTGTATATCAGTTCATTTATTTGACTATTTAATTTCTTCCAGAAATAGTCTATAGTTTTTTGTAATGTGGTCTTGCCTGTGACCATAAATTATTTTCTTATGACTTTTTATTTATGAGCCTATTGTGGATAAACTGTTTTCACTTTTGTCTTGCAATTGTGTCCTTATGATGTGAAAATATAATGTTTTGTTTATTTTTGTTTTAAACTTTCTGTTTCTTATTAAGCACATTCCATAGTACATAGCTGTCATGAATAACATATGTATAATTTAATATTTTTGTAGCTGTTCAGCCATAAATTTATTTCAGATAACAGGAAGACATAATTAATTACAAGTTAGAATTAGACTATCCCAATGCTGTCAGATATTAACATAATGATAATTTAAAATTATTCAATTCTGGTTAGCAAAATAAAGTTAGATGACCACTGAAATCCCAGAATTTCAGAATTCTTCAAATGCCATGTTCCCTGCTATATTTTAGTAGACACAACTCACAGGTTTGTATATTCAACAGCCATAAATTTCCTAGTAACAAGAACTTTTGTGTTAAGCATGCAAAACAACAGCAAAAAAGTCCATTCATTCAGAAGAATTGCCTCCTTCACTCCCTTTGCCCTGGTCTTTTCTAAACAGTTTAATATTAAAGCTTGTCACATGAAGAGTGGTGAAAGTTAAATCACTTTCACAACTGCTGCCAAGTTTATACCATCTACCATATGAATAAGGGTTACTTTTTCAAATACTTTTAGATACAACTGAAACGAATTTAGTAATATGTAGAAGGGAAGGATGTATTTTACAAAAGGGAAAAGTAAAAAGGTAAAGAGCAAAATACAACCAATAAATCACATACACACACATTGATCCGCGCACCATTCTCCCTGCTACAGACAAAAGAACCCAGGGACCTCACTGTCAGCAGTAGTGTTCCTCCTCTCCGAGAGGTTTATATATATGTGCATATCAGCTTTCTACCTCCTGATCTTGTAAGATTCACTTATTAGTTCAGTAATTTTGTAGACTCATTCATTAGAATTTTTACACATAAAATCTTTGCTGCAATAACTAACATTTTTATTGATTTGTATACCTTCTATATGTTCATCTTGCATTATTACAATCAGTAATACCTCAACCTGTTGTGGATTATAGGTGGTGAGAGTAGATAATCTTATCTTTTTCCTAATCTCAGGGAAAAGTATTCAATATTTATGTTCATTAAGTGTTCATTATGTATGTTACACCTTTTTTTGAAGGTGTCGATTTTAGTCCTGATCTTCACTGTATATCAGGAAGGGAGAAGGGAAGTAGTGATTTATTCTGTGTTCTCTTCTACACAATTCTCTTCTCTGGGGAGTTTCATTCCATTTATTTCTTAAGTTTTCCCAACTCCATGAGGTCTTTGAAAACATGATCTTTGTAATTCATCTTTCCTAGTTGTCAGTGACATACTTGGTTTACCTGCTTCCATCACATCCTCCCAACACAGAAATAGAGGCTTCAGAATTCGTTGGAAAAGTTGCAAAGTAATCCCTGAGACATAACTCACTTTAACAGTTACCTAATGATTGATGTGGTTTGTTTCCCATATTTTGCTACTATAAATATTGTAGCAATATATGTCACTTCTGTGTGGGCAAGAATATCTGTAAATTATCAAAGTAAGTGTGATAGGAACCATTTGAGTGAGTAGAGGAGTGAGGTGATCTGACTGCATATTTTAAAGCACTTTGGCTGCTCTCCTGAAAAAAAAAATGAGTAAAAGATGGAACGTATTTTGAAGGTTAATGCATTAATTCAAGATTGATATCATGGTTTAGATTGGGACCATCATAATAGCGCATTTTAATGAATTTGAGAAGTGGCTGGATATATTTTGAAGGTAGAAGTAACAGGATTTACCCGTGGAATGCAGAGAATGAAAATGATCAAAGGTGACTCAACAGGTTTGGTTACAGAAACTAGAAAGTGGAGTTGCCAACAAGTAAGATGGGCAAGATCCTAAGAATTCATTGGGGGAGCAGATCAGAGCTCTGTTAGATAAGCGTTTGGGATATTGATATCCAAGTGGATAGACAGTTGGATACATGAGTTTGGAATTTGGGAAAGAGTTCCAACTATGTAACTCTTTTTACATATGTATATTTCTATTATCCTTTTTATTTTTTTGCATTCCTACATTCCTTTTCTCTTCGACTTCTTTTGTTGTACTTTGTGGGATATATTATCTCTTTTATATATTGTAGTTATGTTTTTTTCCCCAGAAACTCCTTTATTGTCTTTTTTTTAAAGATTTATTTATTTAGGCCCTCCCTGGTGGCGCAGC